AATAATCATATAAAAATATTTCTAAAAAAAATAAAATGTAAAAAATAATAAAGTGAATGATCGATACTCGATAAAAAAGATTCTTGTAAAAATTAGCAAAGTGCATATAATATAAAAAATATCATTCCAATAGATTTTGTTCCTGTATCCAAGTCCAATAGTTTAATAAGAAAAAGCTGCTTCTGGTGCTTTTCAAAAAGTATCTGTCAAATATATTCATAAGATTAAACGTGAAGAAACATAGCAGACAACTGTTTGTGTGTTAAAGAGGCGGCTCAGGCGGCCAACATGTCCTGTCTGTAGAGCGCCGAGCGACTGGAAATTCCGGACGCTCTTTTTCTATGGAGTTTGGAGTGTCGCAACTGTATAAACTGCGTGCCCGAGGTCACTGTGTCCGAGTGCTCCGAGGCTCCGACAAAGAACTCGTGTTCATTTAAGGTGGCTCCAGCGCCTAGTGCCGTATCAAAATGGGGAAACTAAAAATTAATCATTGTTTTCTTTAAAATATGGTATTAAATTATCGTAGAGACTGATGTAAGCCATATTCTACATTTCATCTGTTACTTTAGTGAGTTAATATAAAAAAACAAAAAAGTTTTATGGTGCCTTAAGTTCAATAGTAGTGATACCTATATATATATGTACTCTGCAGAATACAGACAGCTAAGAGCTGACTTGCACTCGCAACTGTATACTTAGTCTCCGATTATTTAAAGATTTTGTTCAATAACAAGACACTTTTCTTATGTCATCGTAAACTGCGTAATAATATATACAAGATAGTATATTTTTTACACCTTACGGGTTATTTATATAAGTGCAACAGTAGGTTGTATATCGCGTAAGCTTGCATTTCCTATCTAACCCGTCTTAAAACTACAATTTTGTAAGCATGATTTCTTACAATTTTCATCGTCAACCTTAATTTTTTTTTATTCGAATAGAAAGATGGAAATTCAAAGAATATAATTCAATTTTATTAACCTCGGTTGGGTTATTTATAATTTTAACATTGAGGCCACTGGAGCCACCTTAATTTATAGATCGCTCGGAGGCCTCGGAGCGCTCGGAGCGCTCCAAGGTGGATAAATGAACAAACCTATAATTGTATTACAGTTTACAGTTCGTGTGTAAGTAGATGTGCATTTAAGAAATGTCAAACTGCTGTTTGCTAATCGTGTTAAGATGAGGAAAATATAATTATCATAACTTAATATCTTGAGAATAACCTTACAAATTCCTGCTAAGTAATTGTAACATAGAAAACGTACATCTAATGTCACTAAAATGAGTGAATCTGAAGGAAAGCATATTGCTAAAGATAATTACAAGTACAAAGAATTATTGATTGACGAGCAGAAATATTTAGTAGGTGTGCGTAAAAGAAATGGTTCATGGCAAATTCTCGTGACAAATCTAGTCGAAGCTTATGAAGAAACTTTAACCGAAAAAACTGCTGTAGCAAGATGCAAGGTATCCTTATAAGAAAAATAATCTATGGATTATTATTAAATTACTGTTCATTGAAACTTAATATTGTGTAATTTTTCAGCAACTAAATCCGTTCTTAGTTGACATTGATTTTAATGAAAGACTGAACAATTTATTAATAGATATTCCAAAGTATGCTATAGTGTGTACAGTGCAATGTTTAAAGTTAGCCTTTGAAATAGAAGGGGGAAAATTTATGTTTGAAATAAAACTAGCTCAATGCAATCCAGAATACTTTCATGATAATATTATGAATAGTTTATACTGTTCTTTTTCTGAACTTCATCATCGATATCAAAATCTGTTAGACATAGTAAAAAAAAAGGATAAGGAAATCGAAGAATATAAAGCACAAGGAGTAGAGATACTACGACGTAAGCTATATTTCAACTTACTAATTACATTGCTGAGAGCGTTACTACTAACATTCTTATTTTTTAGATAGCTTGGTTACTGAACCATTTACAGAAAAAGTTTTCAACTCGAAATTGAAAAATAGTGAATCAACTGACAAAATCAATGTATTTTTAAATGCTTTAAACTTATATGAATCATTGGAAAGCACGAAATCTAATGATATCAGTGGGAAACAGAGATCCATTGGAGCAGAATCTAAGTCACAGTTGGATGAAACAAAGCCAAAGGTTAAGTGTGAAGGGTCAGTCAAAAGACCTTGGAGCAAGGAAATGAGGTGTGCAGTAAATCGGAAACTTCCAAAAAGAGTGAAAGACAGTAAACAAAATTCAGCATTCCAGTACTTATAATGTCTATTAACTAAATTGTTAATTCATACATTTATTTATTTTCTTTTTCAACCAGTTGGAGGGAAAATAAAGTACGAAATAAAAATAGGTGAAAAGAGTGCATTTTTATTAATTCCAGTACACAAAGTCATACAATATTTCTACAAACTTCTAATTCAACAAACACTTATTCATTTAAATAAGTTAATGGCTACTCTTGTTTCTTAATAAAAAATTTACAAACTTCATTCGACGTCGACATGACAATGATGATACATTTCACACTTATAGTTTGGATTTACAGGATTAGAGGAAAGATAAAGAGAATTGATAGGACGCGACACATACAATCTCGTATTAAAAAATTTTTTGAAGGGCTCACTTGTTAATATTGTTATTTGTAAAGATTAGTGTATAGAAGAGAGCTAAAGACAAATTGCAAGGATCGCGCATTTATATAAAAGTCCTAAAGTGATGGATTCGAAATCCGCGTCCAAAGGCCTGCTTTGGAATACAAAAGACAAAACTTGTTCTCACCCTTCGTTGCCAACATACATATGTGTATATTATTATGTCCAGAGCCTTGCATCTTTTATAAAACTCACACATACACCATGAATGCATCAAAGGAGATGCGAACATCGTTGTACATCCGAAAATTTTTTTCATGCTTTGATTCTCCTTGACGTTCTTAACAGAGTCCAAATTGACGTTAATTTTTGGTGACTCGCCCTTCACTGATTTTGGAAAATAATTTGAAAGAGCATATGTAACGTGTTGCCAATGTAAAAAAAATCTGCGTTATTGGAAAGCAGCCTATGCTACTTTTATTTTTCCGTAAATTCCTGTTCATAGGCACAGTAAAGGCAAAATATTTTTTATCTTCTTGTTGCGCAGTTATGGAATAGGGGTAAATGATCCAATTACTGCGCAGGCACCAACTACTGCGCACTCGACGGTAACTGAAAATAAGAAAAACAGACTGAAAAATTTGGGTGCTTGGATATTGTAACACGTAAGTACATTAATAACGTTCAATCCAGAATCATACTTTACATCATGACATTTATAATTGTTTAACTGAGTGACTCTAAACGAATCTAACCTACAAAACTTTGTAGTCGTGCGTAGTGATTGGTGCGCAGCAATTGGGTCTAGGGCTTCAGCATAAAAACCTTATGGGAGATACCCGCGAAGTAATAGGAGGCGCAGCGACTGGTGCTAATTTTACAACCGTGCGTAGTAATACCAGCAAGTGATATCAGCACTAAAACAATTATTTAAAAAAAAAAAGTTACTTAACAAAAAAATGTTTGTCGTTTTAATCGCACAAGATGCTGCAGATAAAGATTAAGTAAAACTGGTTCAATTTACATCGAAAAACAGTGAGAAATGAGAAATTTAGTACAATCAAAAATTTCAGTGCGCAGTAATTGGGTCATTTACCCCTATGCAAATTCTGTTGATTGCGTACAGCGACGCTTGGCGTAAAATTATACTCACTCGGACAAAATTTTTAATCTACATGCACGCATATACCAACATTTTACCAAGTACTCACTTGCACGAGACATGCATACATGTAAGAAAGAAAACAGATAGAGTGGTCCTCGATTAAGTACGAGATGTCGCGTTTCATACGGTCATCACAATGCGCTTGATGCTTAACAATTAATTCTTCAATGGATTAATTATTTTACTACGTGTTTTTATTCATTGCAATCTTAATTTTCCGATGTACATATCGAAATGTGCTAGTACTATTTTTTAATTAAAAACACATCTAGGCCATTTTAAAATACATCTTACATGCAGGCAGCATTAACGCGTTCCTCCCGCTTACAGGAAGAACTGTTTTTTTTTTTTTTTTTTTTTTATTAACTCATTTAGGTAACATTTTCCACTACCTATATACGAACCAATCGCATCTAAAAAAATTTGGCTTACAGACCAAATCGAGATATAGAAAAAAGCCCAAACTTTCACGTGATTTACAAACGATCAGTCTTTTTCATGTTTACCAATTAAGTTATTCAATTGTTTTACTAGTCAACTGTCTCCTCGGCATAATAACAAGCTTACAATTAAAGTTTACAACATTTGCTATTGATCACTTTTAAAATAAGTAAAAATTGTCGTTCGAGATGACTAAAAACTGTGCAAAGAACAATAGGTATACCGGCAACTTCTTAACAAAAATTCTTCCTCCAACTATGCTTGGGTGCAAATGTTCGACTCTCTCTTAAAGAACAACAATAACAATACGGTCAATTAATTTGTTCTAGTATCGTCATAATTGTAATTATTTTTTGCAATAGCAATTCAAAACATAAAACCTGACCTTCATCTCTCTCTTCTAAAATGATACATGTGGGCGAGTAAAAATCGAATGCGGTACAGAGCACCGTATCTTACTATTATTTATTATTAGTATTATTATTACTATTAAGTATAGCTTTTGTACAAACTTGACAACTGTTTTTTCATGACTCATCAGCAGTGAGAGCATACACATGCAACAAATTGATGATTCCAATCGTCGCGGGTGTATAGGAAAGTAAAATTGCATTGTTCTCAGCTGCACGTTTGGGAAGCTCGAAACTTGAAGTGGATGCGATTTTATATACACGCATACGTATATTAATTCATCCCTGCTTATTTATTGCCACACTATACTTGTGCAGTATTTGTTGCCTACAACGTACAGTATGGTTTGTAAACATACCTTACTGAAGGTGTCTGATGGAAACCAGTAAAAATCTTTCTGTTGACTTCTAAAATGCTGTTGCACCCGTAAAACCAGATAAAATCCTACAAGATTCGAAAATAAATGTTTATTTTTTTTATTACAACCAAGAAATGATTGAACATAAGTAAAACTACAAATTTAGGTCTCACCACCCTGATAGCAACACCAAAACGGTGGTACTAAATTATTTTGCATGCAAATTGAAAAAAAGGTAGTTAATAATTTTTATTGTCCGTCCGTTTTGATGTTGCTATTCCGATCTTGTTTTACTTGTATTAAATCATGTCCTGGTCATCATAGGGAATAATTAAACATTTATTTTTGAATGTAATAGGTTTTCTGGATGCAAAAGCCTACTAGAAATCAATAGAAAGATTTTTAACTGGTTTCTATTAGACACCTTCAACAGGGTACAGTAAGTATACATACACATACCAATCATTATTCACATTTAATTTTTGATTGTGACAGAGCCGTGATAAGTATGTGCGGCACTACATTTACTGCTGTTGTTAAATGAAAACTTGAGGGTAAGGTATACGGAAAAATTAATTATGGTCAGTCAAACGTTCTCTTTTAACGTATACTCAATGGTCACGTTGAATTTCGGTTTGTCTCATTATATGCGATTCGATTCAAAAAATTGTGTGCCACGTGCACACACACACAATCGACTTATTGGAATTTATCGGCTGTAACACTAAGTATATCATCCAATACTTGATAAATGTCCAACTAACATGATGAGCACTTCCACGCGTCTCCCTGCTGCGAAGGAGACAGGGCTTTAATGATACTGTTCTCCCCTTCTTTTTCCGAGGCTTCGAACAGGCTTGCCTGCAAAAGTTTGGAAAAAAACATCATGAAATTATAGACATAAAAGCTTTTTTGTTGCTCAAACGGAATAAGCATAAATGAATCGAACGTTGACATCTTACCCGCCGTCCGCGCTGTTCCCGTATTCTTCGAGCCAGCGCCAGAAAAGCCTCCTCGATGTTGACATCCTCTTTGCATGACACCTCGAAGAAAGGCATGTCAAAGTTCTCAGCGATTTTCTGGCCCCTTTCCGTCTCTACGGCTCTTTGCGTCGTGGCGTCGCATTTGTTCGCCGCTAGGACTTTTACAACGTCGGGCGACGCGTTCTGAGAACAAAATTCCAAAATTTGTCGTGTTATTTAACATAAAATTAAGGAAACCCAAAAAAAAACATCTCGTTTTTGTCCCCGATTTTTTAATTAAATTTTTTTTTTTTTTGAAGCACACCCTTGAAGTCAGGCTTATTTTGCTAACAATGCGCCATCTATGGGGAAAAAATCGTAAACACACAGGTTTCAGCGGAGGTGACACCGTTTTTCCACAATTTACATGTAAAAATTATACCTATACACACGATGTGTATAGTTGTACCGATTGCATGCATGCAAACCGCGGAAAAAGGGTGTCACCTCCACTGAAACCCGTATTGTGAGTAAAAAAAAGCCTGACTTTTAAAGTGAGCCTCAATTTTTTTTATTAAAATGGGCGACAAAAATGAGATATGTTTTGTGGATTAACTTATACACCATACCTACTTATTGTTAGATGCGTTTTTCAAAATTTGAGTGGCTCGTTAAAAGTGACAAACAAATACCTATTTATGTTTTTGACGACATCGAAATTGTTCTCGTGAGAAGTATAAAGATAACACCGAAAGGATGGATATTTAGTTGGCTTCGGGCCTTGGGGTATTCGGACCGTGCAACAGTTTGAAAGAGCGCCACCACTGGCGATAGTCGGAGTCACTGGACCGGAAATAATGCACGAAAGTGACAATTTCTCCTTAATAATTTAATCTTACAAATCTATCGAGTTAGAAGACGTTTATACAAGTAATAATGAATTTTCCATTATCTAATTCATTGTTTTTTCCATACGCTTTGAGGTTATATATTTTTACCCTATAGGTTTGTCTAGATGCACCTACACGTTGATTTCATTGGATATAACATAAATATGTATTTTAAATATAACACATGTGTTTATAAACTTAATGACTTAATAGCACAGTTCTGTTGGTATGCAATTTTTAATTATATTATTGCGTTTTGCAAATTGATGATACATAATATATGGGTCATTTAACAAAACACGCAATATTTTCAGACCCAGTGTTTTTTTTTATTCAACGTTGAGAATTTTTTCCTTATTCTTCCCAAGTAATGTAAAGTCCAAACTACTTGGTTGAAAAAATTTAGACCTGACTCTAGGGCCATTTTTAGTAAACCTATTTAAATATAATTTTTTTTTTTTTAAATTTAAAAGAGTGTTACGTTACTTTTTTTGCGATTGTGAAGCCCAAATTCAAAATTTTTCAACCAAATTTCGTTCGTCACATCTGGTCCCAATAACCCCTTCGTACACTATAGTCATCTCATTGATAATTTCAAATCCCTCTGAGATAAGGGATGTTGAAGTAATTAATGACCGCTTATTATACCGGGAAAAAAGCTCTGAATTCGAGACGATACTACAAATAGCCACATTCGAATTTAAAGAATCAATTGTTCATTTTTCAATTCCGAGTGTCTAAAAATTAATTATTTAGCCCAATAAATCGTTTGTGGCGCGCGATTAAAAAGTGGACAAAGTATGCTTAACAAATAAAACGTCGCAAATTAACATAAATGTTATTACATTGTTTTAACTGCAAAAAAAGATGCAAAAGCCGCGGAAAACGTAAGATTTAAATGCTTAGCGTTACAGTAATGATATTTTAGACTGTTTTTTTTTAAATCTTACGGCCGTGGAAAAAAATTTTCGACTTGATTTTGAAAAGTATTTGTGTTTAGGGAAAATTAGTTTACACTATTTAAAAAAAGTTCCCATTAGAAATGATTCAAACTGTCGTTTTTAAACATAGACTTCATGGAATGTCCCAATTTTTGTGAAACAACCTATTTGTATCGTGAAATAATTAGCATGAAAAAGTTTTTTTCCCATGATCATGTCAACGAGCCCTTTTATGGTTGTATTATGTTAAAACAAAACAAAAAAATCTTCTACGAAGAGTAATACGATTGCGTGAGACAAAAAATTTCTAATTTCTTTAAAAACGAAAGATATGGTATAGTGGGCGAAGAAAAAGTGAAAACGCACCTCTTGTATATTACGAAGCCAATAAGAAAGATGATTGAAGCTTTCGAGATTAGTGACGTCATACATCAGCAATATTCCCATGGCTCCACGGTAATAGGCAGTGGTTAAAGTTCTGAATCTCTCCTGACCAGCGGTATCCCTTTAGGCAACACAAGTGGTTATTTTCATTATTTAAGAGCACGCACTCGGCCATAAAACCAATTTAGGTATAATCTTACGATCGAACGATTTCAAAAATGTAATATTCATGTCGCGCTTTTATAAATGGACATCAAATGAGTAGACACAAGAGTTTTTTATTGCCATTACTAACTACGAGATCTGAAAATCAAAATTGAATTGTTGTATAAAAATAGAGTAAAATTTTGGTTTACTCGAAAACACTTAATGATAAATTAAAAAAATATGTTGACATTATTGGCGATAGAGTCAGCAGAATCATTGTTGGAATTATATCAATTACAACATTTTTATGTAGGTGCAGAGAGAAAATCATTATAAGAAAAAAAATTTTTCATTAGAATCGCAAGACGCTTCCACGAAAACTGCAAAAAAAAGGAAACACGCATTGCGAATGATGCAATTTCTCGTAATCCTGTTTCGTAATAAAAATTATGAAAAATAAAACTGAATCTAGACAGCCAAAACTTAAATACTAAAAACTCACCAGATCTGCAGCTTTATCGGAATGCCGTCGAGGTTGATGATTTTCTGCTTGAAGTCGATGCCTGATTCGCGCGATACGAAGAAACAAGACCATATGTACAGACAACAGCCAGTCAAATCGTATTGGTGGAATGAGGGTCGCGTCACCACCGAGAACACAAAGAAAATATACCATCCAGTACTATATGACACAGATCTCATGTTGCCAGCGTATAGATAGCTCGCAAGCTCAGCTGCTGTTGCTGCCATGCAACATATAACCTCTTCGATGTATACATGTCATATACTCCCCCTGTATGATATGTCAGTTGTATCATCGCTACACAGTATGTACACACACACACACACACACACACATATATATATATATATATATATATATATATATATATATAGGCAGGAACTCATCAACTGCCGTCATTTTGCATGGTATGGCTAGTGCAATATACTTTACCCAAACCCCCTTGGGAAAACAAGATTTGAAATTTTCATTTCTCGAGGTGCATCCACTACATACGTAAAGCCCTTTGATCTCTACAGATACCTGTGTATATATACACCACGCGTAAAGAAGGTAGTAAAATGTGGACTCTTCCTTGAAAGATCATGCATCATGTATTTGAATTGTTGCGGTGAAGTATATAAATAAAACCGACTATGCGTATAATATGAAAAAAAGCCCTACTAATAGTAAAAAGTTTGTTTGGCTGCATGTATAACATCGTCCCGCTGGTTGATTGTTCGGTTTGAATGTTTTTTCCTGTATGACAGCAATGATTGCAAGTGACGCCTGTACCAAGCAAGCATTCATACATGCTTTGCGCAGCAAGTCGTTCATCGGTTTTAGGACACAGATGAGGGCCGGACGAATTTGTAATTTCCCTCGATTGATACGATGTAGTTTCCGTCGACGCAACCCTTTCGAGCAAAGAACGACCGAAACGCAAAATCAAAAGCCAAGACCGCCAACAATGGTGGAGAGAAACGAAAGGGGCGCCATAAGCTGCACGGAATCAGAGAAATATATAATAATCATCCTGTCGCAAAGGAACATGTATCAGGTGTGACTTGTTGAAAAAGCTCATGTGTCCATAATTATGTATTGTATAGTACACTGGTGGGGAATGTACTCAGACCCCTCGCCCCTACCAACAATTGACTGTCACATAAGCAAAGTAACATGCGAAGTGAAACTCATTTGTTTGTCGGGGGTCGCTAATATCTTGCCGGCCAGAGAGTACCATGCACATGCCCATATACTATAATATTACATTGCATAGTCATATTCTACACTTCTTACCAATTGTCGAGATGTAAGTGTCGTAGTATCTTTCGTCGCAGTAGCGGTGAACAATGCAAGTTTTCCCGACGTTCGAGTCCCCGAGTACCAGGACTTTGTACGTCGCAGTAAAGTCCAACGCCATGTTATTCAATTATATGCACACACTCGATGTCTTTCCTATAATATACTCGTAAGAAGCCCTCAGTCGCTACAGCTTCGGTGAAAGCTTTCCTTGCAACAGCTGTTGTATGTATATACGCAAGTATTTGTATACCGGCACGACGTCGTGCCTTGTTATGTATAATATATATATATATATATATATATATATATACTTACACGTGAATCAACGATACTCCTTTTTCGTATCTCGGCGTTTTTGGTGTTCACCCGTACGCATTTTTCTACTATGGGTGTAATTTTTGCTAACTTCACGGTGGGGGTGATGAGCTTATACAGTGAATAACGAAAACTACACGAAGCAGCTAGCACAGATGTGAGATGGTTTGAGATTTTACGGGCCGTGAGTGTGTGCGCGAGTGAGAATCAGAATTCAGAATGATAGCGCTTGCCTATATATCTGCAGAAAACGGTCCTGGGGAGATCGATTTCGAGCTTGCGCTCTCTGATGATGCGTTGTTTTCCTTCCTGAAAATGCAAGCGTATAATACATGTATGTGTTATCTATACTTGAAGCACATGTTCATAAGCCTACTCCCGCACCGCTATCGTTCTTACCTTACCGTGCTTTTTACTTATTTTTCTTCTTCTTGTTTACGGTCCTGACTTAACTTACTCGATTGATTCATTATAAAATTTTTATTTACGTTGATGACTCTTGAGCCCTTTTTTCTCCTAACAACAATGTTTTTTGGTGGAATCTATTTAAAATAGACTGTTTGTTGTTACAGAGATCATGGGTCAAAGAAACCAAAAGAAAGTTTCACCAGATCTATCTACTGAGGGCTTGCAAGTTGGCATGCTTAAGGGGGTTATTGTGATATTTTTTTTTCTATAGAATTAAAAAAAAAAATTATGAGACACTTATTTCATCACTACACATAGCATACTAAAATTTCAGAGGAATTAGTTTCGTAGTTTTTGAGAAAAAAATCTTAAAGTTTTTCTGTTATACTCGGGCTCTGATGGAGCTTGATGTTACCAAAAATACATGTTCTCATATGACTTGTTTAATTTTCTTTTTTGAAGAAAATTATGTCGAAGCTGACTGTGATTTATGTGCATATGAGATGTTGACCGATAGGGAGCAGCAAGATGAAAAATATCTGTCAACTACAATATTTTTATTTTCCGAAAATTTTTCGGACACTTAAAAGCACTATGCATGACAGGTCTTACTTATCTTGTCAATCTCGTGTCGTGCTGTTTTTTAGCGGTTAATGAGGTTTAATCACTCACTATCCGCTATGTACAACCGCCTGTGCTGCCATCCTCACCTGCAGAAATGACTTTGACTTAATGTATGTAAACAAATCCAAATCGTATTACAGAGATAGGAGCAAAGTCATTTAAATCAAATAACTTATTATTTATTAATATTAAAAACGATGAAATGAATATTTCTATAAGAGAAAATGAATGTTCAATAAAAAGAAAGTATAACTTTTCTCAATCGTATCTTATAATTGAGACAAAAACAGAATTTTCTCTCTTTTTTGAGGTTGTATGCTTTCAGAGCTGAACCGAATGAGATGTAGATAACCTTAATGATGTAAAAAAGGTATACATGACGGAGTCATCTTTTGACATTTTTCACATCATTAAAGGAGTTCACTCGCTAAAAGAATTAACGTGAATATATTAATAATACTTTGAACAGAGAATAATTAGAGTATGAAAAACCTTCGATTGAAATTTCAAGCCCCTTTGTGACTTATAAAGTGAGATATTAATAATTTTATTTTTGAACTTTTAATGTGCAGTCTTATGAGAATCAGTACGGTTCTGATACATAACCTGCAATATCTGGATAATCGACCTCAAGATTTGATTGAAATTTTTTTTGAAAATAGCTAAAAACTTGGTGATTACGTAGCTATAGTCTCATCTTCACTCATGGCTTATGGAATGAGCAATAAATTAGTAAATAAAATTATTCTTGTTCGTCAGCTACCGTTAGCGTTATATCTGTATATATAGTTATGCAGGTTACAATACTGCTGATCTTATGTGTCAAAAAGTGAAGGGGTGTGGGTAAAGGGGGTGCGCGAAATAATAAAACGAGTATTACAAGTTAGACAAAAAGTTTATTTAATAAAACTGCCGACCGACGTAGAACACAACAGATACAATTTACAGACTTTACAGACTTACAACCGACTTATCAGACAAAGACAATAAAGCTAGAACCGACGAGAAGTGTAGAAGGCACGGTGGCTTACACTGTACTGACTACAGGGCCCGCAAGTATCACCTTGCCTGTGGCGCTGTCTTTCACACTATATATACTGCCTATTGAAAAGTCGTACATGCCAACACTTCCTCCCGACTTAAGATAGCTAAGTATATTAGACAAAAATTATAATTTAAAATAGATAAATAGATAAATAAATGTGTGTTCTTGACTCGGCTCCACGGCTGTGGGAATGCACCCAAGTAGTCCATGAGTCGGTCCATGGCTCCTTTATCGCCTATCTGAAACAGAGACAACTTATTAGTTACCAGTCAGAGTCGCAAAAGCTGTTCGCGATTCTGCTAGCAAATTTTACATGGAGCTCGATCGGTAGAGGTTTTGTGAATATATCGGCCATCTGTTCTTTAGTGTTCAGCCATCTGACGTTTACATTACCATAATTTTCACATTCTTCAACATAATGCTCATGAATTTCTGTCATATGTCTTAATTTACCACTAGCTATAATTTTAGCATTTTGCTCAGCCGCCTTATTGTTGCACTATAGATCTGCTAGACACAAAGTATTATTCAGTGTGATTTTAATCGAATTATCAACTGCTATCAGTTCTCTACATGCTTCACTCAGTGACACATACTCTGCCTGACATGTTGACAAAGACACATACGTTTGTCTGTGAGTTCTCCATGCCACTGAGTCTCCAAAGATTTTAATTACGTAACCGCTTGTGGTTAGAGACCCTTTGCAGTCGCCAAAACTGGCATCGGAGAATGCTTCCAGCCCTTGCTGCCTTCCACAATATCTTAGACCATAAGATTTGGTCCCTGCCAGATACGGAATACTCTTTTAACCATATTCCAGTCTTCGTTAGTCGGACTTATTTGATGCCTGCTCAGCACATTCACTGTATAACTTATATCCGGACGTACAGTATTGGCAGCATATAATAAGCTCCGAACAGCCTCCCGGTAGGGAACACTCTCAGTCGATCTGGACTCATTCAAGTCAATCTGCCTTTCTGATTACTCTCTTTGTTATCTTTGTTGATTTAACACGTGACCTGTGACCATAGGAGTTTTCACTGGCTTAGAATCATCAGACCCAAACTTTTTAAGTATCTTATTTATGTAATTGGTCTGAGTTAAAGTTAGAACTTGGTTTTCTCTGTCTCTTCTGACTTCAATGCCTAAAAACGATTTAACTTCTTCTAGGTCAGTCATTTCAAACTCACTTTGCAGTCTTTCCTTCACAGACTTCAATTTGCCAGAATCATTACTTGCTATAAGCATGTCATCAACATAGAGAACCAATATTAGGATTTTATCTGTCTCATGCCAAGTAAATAGGCAAGGTTCAAAGATGTGAGATCTTAGACCTATTTTCGTTGCTGCCTCAGAGAATCTTTCATGCCATTTTTTCGGACTGACTTTAAGGCCGTAAAGGGCTCTCTGAAGCTTACATACCTCGCTTTGTTTTTCCAGATCGGAACAGACCAAACCTTCTGGTAACTCAATATATATCTCGTCGTCAAGGTTACCATTTAAAAATGCCGTTTTAACGTCAAGCTGACATGTATCAAAATTTAATTTATTAATTACAACCAAAGCAGTTCTTATTAAAGTCAGTCTTGACACTGGGGCGTAAATCTCCGTAAGATCATACTCATTTTTATCTTTAAAACCCCATATCACCAGCCGTTCTTTGTCTTTCTCACATCCTTGAGCATCAACCTTTTTCTTAAAAATCCATCGGGAATCGATGATATTCGGACGTTTACCATTTACCAGTCCTGCAGGTCTGTTTACCAACTTCCAGACTTGTTTCTTTGCCACTAAGTCAAGCTCTTCTTGGATGGCTTGATTCTAGCCTTCTATATCCACAGCCTTCATTGCTTCTTAATATAAAGCTGGATCTTTATTTATTTCTGCCAGCAAAGAGTGGTAAGCTAGATCTTCCGCATAAATAGTATTATCTACTGACGTTTCAGCATCACAGTTCTTAAAAATTGAGTCTTTTGTTACTTCTTCCCTGAGAGCTAAGCCCGCAAAGCTGACGTCTTTTACACGACTTTCTTGGACCAAATTGGCCTCCATTGTTTCTATCAGTCTTTTCGGCCTTCCTCTTTTTCGTTGTACCACCGGGGGCGCTTGCTCCGATGACACTGTCTCTTCTCTATCCTTTTCGAAGTTTAAAAACCACTCATCTAATTTAATATCTACAGTCACATTTTCCCAGTTTTTAATTGAATTTTTACCAAAAACGTCTCCATATACAAAACGCTCGTTAAATCTGACGTCCCGACTTTCATAAAACTTTCCTTCGTCCGGACAAAGCAGACGAAACCCTGTCGGCGTGTATCATACCATAACTGCTCGTTTCCTTTTTGCATGGAATTTAGTTTCAGTGTTTCTCTGAACTCTCAAATATGCGATGCAGCAGAATCTTTTCATTTGACTTAGGTCTGTCCTTTTATTCCGAGCCAGCTTCATTAAAGGGATTTCCATGTTATTTGAGCGATACGGAGTACGATTGTACGCAAATACAGCTGCGTTTAGTGCCAAGTCTTACGTGTTTTCCGGGAGTCCCGAATCACATATCAGAGCTCGGACTTTTATTTGAATTGTTTTGTTCAGCCTTTCTGACGTGCCATTATGTTCAGGGGTATCCGGACAACTCAGTTGGAGTTCAGCTCCAAGGTCATTTAATATTTTTCGCACGGAGCCTCCCGTGTACTTGGTACCCTGATTAGACCTCAGATAACACACTTTAGCTTCAAACCCGAGAAGATTTCTACAGCCTATAACAAAATTATCTAAACATTCACCTGTATCACTTTTGTTTTTCATCGGGTAAGCGATTGCAAACTTAAAATAATCATCAATAAATACCGAGATCAATCTGTATCTTTTTGGGTAAGAGGGCGGACTAATAATTCCCATTGTATCTGAATGAATTATTTGCAGCGGTTGGGATGCTCGTTCGCGTACCGAAAGGAAAGGCAGTTTTTGGGATTTTGTTCTTAAACACACATTACAAGTTTTAATCACATCATCAAATACGGCTTCTCTCAGACTTTTTACTTCCGGATAGTTTTTCTGCAGTTCCCTTAGATACCCCAACGAAGCATGGC